TGCCCACCTCCTCCTCTATACCCATCCTCCGTCCCAAACTTCATCCCCCACCCTACCCCTGCTGCCAGAGCACGATCGGCAGAGCTGTTGATAGAAATTCTCTCTTCAGGATAAGTTGTGTGCTGCACATCCGCAGAACGTAAATCGCTGTTTTCCTGCAGACTGGTCCATACCAGAGTTCTTCCATTCCTGCAGCCTGAGATCTTCCTAAATGTCCTCAAAGCAACCCATTCCTGTATATGCGGGAAGAATTCCACAGTGGAGGGGGCCCTCTTCGTTTCCACAGTGGCACCACAGACAGGAAAGGCTGGACGCAGAAGCAAGCTCAAAGAGTATATTTCAATGGGCCACAACTTACCAAGCTCTCTGAGAATTCTGTTTAGGAAGTTTGCTCCCACCTGCCCTGGGCCTGCTCTGCCCAGGAGGTAGAGCTGAGCAGGGACAGTGTGCAGCGCTGAAGGGGGAGGCTGATAGCTGTGATTTGTGTCCAGCCAAGTTGCCTAGACCCACCTGCCCCTGGGGAGAGGAGGAAGGAGTGCCTCCGCTGGCTCTCTGCTGGCTGCCCTGACCTTAGTCCTCACGTCCCCTCCCCCAACCGACCCACTACCTCAGCCCTAGTTCTCTCTGGGGACATCCATGGAAAGGGGTGGACAAGCAGATCTGTCCCCAGCCCTGGAAATGATGCCCTGTCCCCTACCCTGGCTGGAATGAAGCCTACCAGCTGGGGCATGCAGGCACATTTCTGACACCGGTATATGTATTTCCTGCCAATGTATATGCGCCAGAACCTTCTACCCCGGCAATGTGCCTGTGCTTTCTGTGAACACAATTCTGTCATCAACCCACTTATATTTGTAGATGTGCCTTTTCCTTGTGTATACACATGTACACATGGGTGTGTGCATGCTTCTGTGGATGCTTTTGCGTGTGTATTGTGCTGCATGCGCATTACAACTACCCACTTGATGATTCACTGAGCCCTGGAGTGAGGAGGGCTTTGCCTCTCATTTGCTGTGCATTGTTGTGTGAGACACTTTTCCTCTCTGAATTCCCCCAACCTCAGCTCCCTGCCTGTGGAAAAAAAAATCCTTTTTAATCAAGAATTTCCAAGGACAACTCCAACAGCGGGACTATATTAAAAGACTGATCTAACATTTAGGGAGGGCAGTGTGGGAGCCAGTAGAGCCTCCAGCTATTTCTCTTTCCAAAGTCCCCAAGCAAGGGCAACCCTCTCTGAGATCAGAGTGGGAGAGAGGTCACAGGTCTGTGGTCTATCAAAGAGGGATGGAGCAACTTCCCCCAGGCTGAGAGAAGTCTTCAGTTTGAAATTCACTGTCATGTCCAGCTTAAATGGACCTAGGCTACATGGCAAAGCTAAGGGAGGACCACGGGATGGATGGTCTCTCTGCCTTCAGCCTCTTTCACATGTGCTAGCAGAAGAGGAAGAAGAATGTGTTATCTGTATAGCCAGAGGAATGGCTTTTCTTGGACACAGAATGGAAAAGGTGTGCCGACCAATGGAGGAAGTGATGGCCACTCCAGAGAACCCCAGCAGCCAACTGCATCAGAAGTCTGGCCAGGCCCTCTCTAGCTAGCCCTGGTCTTGGCTTGCTGTGCCTCTGGGAGTCAGCAGAAGCTCACCCCTGCCCCTGCAGCTGGCCTTCTTGGCTTTTCTTTTTCCTTTGTTTTGGCTTTTTTTTTTTTCTTGAGGGCAGTGGAAGAAGGATAGGGTCCAAGGCACTGTGCTCTCCCAGGTGGTTTCATCTCTGGAAACCCTGCTACAGGTGACAGGTGGGAGTGTGGGGCCAAAGAGCGGGCAGACTAACTACTTTCAGTGTCCTGAGCAGCCCCATCTAAGGGGCCTATGACCTGGGCACACATACATACACCCATAAACACTGAACAGTTACTCTCAGTCAAGGTCCCTATGTTCAAAGAACACACTTCCACCTCTCAAGCCTAAATAAATACATCAACACCACCCTTAAACAAATACCATACACAGTAAGCTCTCTGAACACATAAGCAGATGCCCAAATACCAAAATATCCTCTTTCCAAAGCACTTTCTCCTTGCTCATCCTTCTTCCTCATCCACAAGCAGCACCCTCACCCAGGAAAATAGGTTTTCCAGGAAGAAAACAGAGACCTTGGCACTTAGAAAGAGCCAGGGATCAATATTGTTTAGACTTGGCCAGTATGTATTTCTTTCTAGGCTGAGGAAGATTTAAGTTTATGGTTTAATCCAATCTTTAAGGGGGAAAAACAGGAAAGGCAGAAAATGAGGAAGTTGTGATGGAGTGTTCAAGAATTTCTCTCCACGTAGCCCCAGACTTTAATACACAGGTGGCTCAAACTAAGCCAGCCCCATAAATCAGAGAAATCAATGCTTGTTTATGATCATTATCACTTTCAGTTTTTTTAAAGAGGAGAGTATGCAAGGAAAAGGTCTGACCAGAGTCCTCTTCCCCTCTTCTCAGCCCAATCAAGAAGAATGAATATTCAAAGAGGGGAGGGATAGAAGATAAGAAAGTCATTCTGGAGATGACTTCAGGGCCTAGGGCAGACTTTTGTGTAAGTGACCTAAAGATGCACAAGCATGGAAGAGACAGGGACAAAATGTTTAAGGTCTGAGAGCTTCAGTTTGCTTAGCTGAACAATGAAGAAAATTCCACAGCAATTGAAAGATAATGAGAAAGATAATGAGCAAGAAAGCAAATTACTTAACAAACACTGGAAGTCTATACTTTGCTAACATGATTTTGGAGAAAGGTAAGTACCCCTCCTCACTTGCTGGCTTTGATCACTAGGAAGAAGTGGAGCGGAGCCTTAAGGAATGCTATCCTTCCTGGGGTTGCTGCTCACATTACCTGTGTTCAGCTCAGAATCTGGTGGTCCTGGAGAGCTTAGCTATTCTAACTATCCCAAGGACCCACAGTGGGAAAGGGAGGACAAAGGGTAGCCCCATATCCAGGCATTCAAAATGGTAAGGTTTCTGTAAAGCTGAACACCCCCATCTCATATCTGGATGTGCTTGGAGAAGGAAATACGGCCAGGACTCTTACAGAAGTTCTGAGCAGCTAGACAAGAGGACAGGTACCCTGCGCCCCAATGCCCACACTCCCTAACTTGAAGGGATGCAGGGGCTTAAAGATTCCCAGTTCCACTCCCCAAGAAAAGCAAACCATGCTTCCAAGCCATCTTCAAGACCCATATAATTTCATCTAACTCACAGGCAGGTTGGGTAAACACCTATTATGTGCAGGCATTACTCAAGAAAACAATGGTGGGATGAAAGAAAGGGAATCGCTGCAGTAAAGTTGGGGACCCATAGCAATGCCAAATGTACCTTTAACTCCATTCCAGGTCACCCAACCAGAAGTTTCCAAATCCTGTGTAGGGACTTGGAGGGGCCCTTAGCTTCTTAGATCTGGGAGTTGGGACTGTCATTTTCCTGGCCAGGAGTGAATAAGAGAGTGACTGGCCATCCTCATTTCTCACAAAATCAATTCTACAACTGGAAAGAAACCCAAGAAAGATGCACACACAAAAAAAGTGCTCCCATGCATGCACAACCCCCCAAAACACACCTGCAAACATTCCAATATGCAAACACAAATGAGTACATAACACACACTGTGAAGTCACAAACATCCAATTATGACTCTAACCACAGAGAAATCGACACCCACTTGCACAATATGCACACATACAGGAATACACATAAAACTAGTAGGACCTTAAATGCACCAATATCTGCACACTATTGCATAGATGTGTGTGTGTGTAGACACCTACCTGTCTAGCCATATAACATGGAATGCAAGTACATGCACACATACTGCACAGGTCAAAAAAAAGGGGGAGCAAAATTCATATATAATTTCAAAGCTGGACAAAGGAAAATAATACCTCCCAGGAGAAACGTCCCTTCTTCCCCCTAACTCTTGAATGTTGAGGAACATAGTGCCTGGTCTGGAAGAATTGGCCTCAGGGTCACCAGTAAGAATCCAGACATTTCCCTCTGGGTGTCCAGGTGTCTTGCCAGTCCCAGGGAGTTATGTGTGCTCCTTCCTCAGTGAGGCAATAAGCCAGGCTTTGTTGAGATGCTGAGGAGTCGGCTTAGAAAGAGCAGGCCTAAGCCCACCTTCTGGAGTTACAGGCCAAGAGCAAGACCAAGCAGTGGCCACTCTTTACCTCTTACCTAATATTCAAGCTTCTTCTCCCCTAGCTTTGTGCAGAGCCAAGCCCAGCAAGGCTCCGAGTGCCACCTAGACCCACTGCCTGCCAACAGCATCACTCCATTAAGTTCAGGCTGCAGAGAGGCCCAGACAGAGGTTCTCACCCTAGTGTGTGGCTGCCCAATTTCTGTCAGTCCTGAGAAGGCCTTGAGCATTTGGAGGAGAAAAAGCTCTAGTAAATCTCACACTGGGGTGGGGGTGGGGGGCGGGGAGAAAGAAAAGAAAAGGAAAGGGGCAGGCAGCGCCAGAAGCAGGTTGAATATTGGAGGATGTCAAAGCCAGCCTCAGCCTGGAAAGGGCGAAGGGGGCAGCCAGCAGCCTGTGCAGCTTCCGAAGCCAGGACTGGGCTTTTCAGCCTTTGGTTTCCCTTGAACGCCATTGCGGACCAGGTGCATTACGCCAGACCCTCCAGTCCGGAGCCAAACCCGAATCTGAGCCGCCTCTGCCTCCCTGCTCCTCCTTTGCCCCTCGTTGTCCCTGTGGGGCCCAGGCTAGGCTGGAGACGCCCTGGGCGCTCCGCCCTGTGTGCGCGTGAGGCCGGGCCGCGGCGTGCCCGGGCCCATGCCCTTCCCGAGCCCGCAAGGAGGAGGACTGCCAGCGGCTCATGAGCACAGTGTACACTTTATTTCAGACTACAGGTTTCTGAACATAATAAAATCTTTGGCTTGTAGCGGCGGTTCAGTCTCGCAGTCTGTGGGGTCGTATTTCTCAAGGAGTCTCCGGAAAACGAAAGGGGGGCAAGACAGACCGATGGACAGAAGGGTCGTGGGAGGTGGGGAGAGGCGAGGGCAGGCACTCAAGGAAACACACTCTCACGCACACAAAGAAAAGTCCCAGAGAAACGAGGGCCAGTGATGGGGGCGGTGACCGGAGAAGCGAAAACGTTCAAAAGAAAAAAAAAAGCAACGAAAATGAAACCGGGCCGGGGGCAGCGAGGCGGGGAAGAGGGATAAAAGATAAAATAATTATAATAATTATAATAATTATAACAATAATAATAAAAGAGATTAATAAAAATGTCCAGCAAATAGAGATCGCTACACATATTTGTTTTCCTTACCTGAAATTAAATATATACAAGGTCGTAAGCGGTTTGGCTAGATAGAGCTTTAAGGAGTTCGCAGTTTCATCCCTTACACTGTGAATAGAGAATAGATCATATTTTTTGATAGCACCTGTCCGAGTCTTTCTCCCTTTTCAAAACTGTTTCGTTCAAACGAGACTATCCGTTCCGAGGATCGCTCTTTCTCTGTCTCTCTGTCTTCCCGCTCGCTCCCTCCCTCCAGCAGCCGGCCCGGAGGCGCTGGCGGCCAAGCCGGGACGGGGCGAAGGCCGGGCGGCCCCACCGCGGGGCCCCGCAGCCGCAGCTACTCGCTCTCGTCTTTGTCCTGGACCGTCGTGGTAGAGTGGTTGTACAGTCCCTGGGCCATGAGGTGCAGCGCCAGGCCGTTCTTAATGCCCGTGGCTTTCTTGATCTTGGCGCGCTTGTTCTGGAACCAGATCTTGATCTGGGACTCGTTGAGGCTGAGCTCCTGGGCCAGGGTCTGCCTCCGTTGTTCGGTGATGTAGCGGTTGGCCTGGAACTCCGCCTTGAGTCTCTGCAGCTGCTCGGCCGTGAAAGCCGTCCGCGGCCGCTTGTCCTCCTTCTCATTCTTCTTCTTCTTCAGCTTCCTGGTCCTCGGACCTGGAGCGGTGGGCAGGGCCGGGTTGGAGTGGGGACGGGAGCAGAGGGGAGGGGGATGAAAGGGCAGAGGAAGCCGTGAGAATGGCCGAGCCAAGCCAGCCCAGACCGGCCCCGCTTCCGGGGAGATCTCCGAGGCCCTAATGAGCCTCGGGCTCCCTCCCGCCAGCCAACCTCTGGACCAAAGAGCCTCTGCGTGGGTCGGGTCGCTCGGGTCTTGCTGGTTACCTTGAGGGAGGGGGCCTGAGTCGAGGAGGAAAACTGGCAGGGATTGTAGGTGCACCCCACACTCCCATTGCAGCAAGAGAGGCAGGGATAGACTTATAGCATGGCACTTCCCGCCAAGAAGAGAATTCAAGATGGAGAGAGATTTGGAGCCCCCCATTTGGCCTAGCCTAGAGTTGGGGGTCAGAGGCCTGCTGTTTATTTCACAGCTCTGAAATAAAAAGGACTAAGGCTGTGAGGGCAGGCCGTGGGGTACGGCTGCGCTGCAGAACTACCCCCCCCCCCGCCCAACGCCCAACACACACACGTTATTTCTCCAAAAGCTACGAACACTGGGCACCTACAATAAAACCCTATCTGCTTGCAGCCATTGAGCCCAGAGAACAAGAGTCAGGTAAAAAGCTTTGAGAAGGTTGCCCAGCTCTAAAGAATTTGGTATCTGCTTTTTTTTGCCTACTCTTCTTTCTCTTTGCCTAACAGAAGCTCTTCCTAGACCCTGTGGAAGACACTAACTGCTCCTTCAATGAAGAACGGCCCTCACCCAGCTGCAGGCCTATCCCAAGAGCTTGGTCTTTGGGGTATTCCTCTTTGCCCCTTAGATGGTGTCAGTAAGAAAAAGGGCCTTCCCAGTTCCTGCCCCCAGCCGCACAAGCAAGTCTCTTATTTCTCCCTTGACTATACCTGCTGCAATTTCAGAATTGAAACTCCTGAATAGCGGAACCAAGCCATACTGGCTTTCTCTGCTCTCTCATGGCATTTAAAAGGTGACACTTCCCCTTTCCCATTCATGAACAAAACAAGGGCACAGGGATAGCGCTATGACCCCAAGATGGGTATGGAAGAAGCCACAGGAACTTTCTCCAAGAAGGTGAAGTCTCCCTCAAATGCAAGCCTGCTGTGGGATTTAGCCATGGAGAAGAGCCAGAAGCAAACCAGGGGAGGATGCAACTCCCCTGTTGGTCTGTGCCTGGAAAACCCGAAAGTGTCCTTCTATGCTCAGGTCCCTTGGCATTGACTTGCTAGGCCCTGTCTTAGTTATAGGAGATTATTGCATTTAGATCCTGTCTAGACTTTCTAAAATTCTCTGGAAAGAAGATTCATTATAGGTATCCCCAAAACTAGCATTAGAGGGGTAAGCTGGGCAGCGGGCTCCTGGGGCAGGCCAAGTCCTGGGGTCACCAGCTATCATACGACAGAGTCCAGGCCTTGTAGACTACAGGAACTCAGGTCTGGGCCATCATGCTAGGGTACTATCATGCAGGAATAAGAACTGGTACCCTGCCTCTCCTGGCCCACATGAAGGAGAGCAGCCAGGAACAAAGACAAGGCCTGCTCCAGAGCAGGTCTGGGGTTTAGGTTAGTAATTAGCAGAGCGGGCAGAGATGGGCCAGGAAATGTGCACATCCTCAGAAATGCCCCATTGTGAGTTGCGCTTCTGGGGCATATTAGAGTGTTGCGCACGTGTGTGTGTGTGTGTGTGTGTATCTGTGCGCAAAGGCATGGGCATTTGTAATAAAATCGTAGTCTCCTGGCCAGCCTGAGCCACGCAGCCTGACAGCTCAATCACTCTATCCATCAGGCGAGTCAATCAAAGCAGCTTTTCGGAGGTTCAGGGAGCCGGACGTGTCAATAACGGGGCTCGAGATGGCAGGGGCTGGTAGTACACATCGATCTGCAATCTGCGCCTGGTCAGTAGCAGTACAGCAGCAGACACCAGCCAGAGGAGAGCAGCCGCATGTGGCTAACTGTGCCTGGCTCCCTATCTTGAGCCAAAGACATGCTGTTCTCCTAGCACTCCCCACTGGCTTGCCAGGCCCTGCAGGCCTATGTATCCAGCAGGCTCAGCCTCCTCTCCCTGGGCCCGGTGGCTGTCCCAGATTAGGTCAAGGCCTTGGGTTCACCGAGCTCAAGGGGCACAGGAACAAGAGTGGAAGGAAAGCCAAGAAAAACTCGCCTGTCCTGGCGGAGCTAACTGGCAGATGTGTAGAAAGGAGTCAAAGAAGGAAAAACACAGGGCCCAGGATGTGGGACCTGCTCTCAAGGGGGGGAAGCTATAAAGGAAGCTGGCCTTCCTGCCCTTCACCCTGCTTTCACACCTGGGCCCTATTGGCTTTCTCTCCTCTCTCACTGTCTGCCAGCTCCAGAGAACCAAGGGCTGTGGGCCTTCATCTAACTGGCAACTGCCTTTCTCTGGATACTACCACCTGGTCTGATTGTCTTGCTACCTGGCTAGAAGAGGCTAGCGTTCAATGGCTTCCCTCTTCTTGTGTGTGTTTCCATGTCTGTCTCTTTGCAGACTCTCCGCAGAAAATATGAAGATAATGTTTGTGTCTGTAAGAACATGCAGTGAAGATTATTTCTCTGGTCAAAGCCTTCTCTGGTCAACGCCAGCCTCCACAGGACCGGCCTGGTGTGGTTTCAGACCCAGATCACTAGGCCTACCTTCACACCAGCACTAAACACCCTTTCCTTGGAAGAAAAAACAATGGCTATTTGTATATATTTCCTAAGAATAATTAAGGCAAAACACAAAGAAAGCCTCGGGGCTGAGAGGTCAAAAACGAAGGGATTAAGACTGCAGCCTCCCGTGTCAGGAGGTATGTTTCCCTGTGATGGCCGCAGAGCCAGGTTCGCAGAAGTGGGGTACACATTCGGTAGTGGCTGAAACTAGGAGTGAGGAGGAGGAAGGAGACATGAGAGATGAGACCTACTTGCTTTCCCCAGTGCGGTGCTTTGCAGCTCTAGGGTTCTCTGCAAGGGAGGGCACAGAAAAGCCTGTGCTCAGGTACTCACCAGAGGATGGGCGATCCGAGTAGCGCGTGCAGTAGACCCAAGCGGGCCAGACGAGGGGCTGCTGCGAGTCAGTTTTGACCACTGGCCCGCCGTTGGCCGAGCCCATGAGTAGGATGGCAGGGTTGCCGTGCTCCGGGTACTTGGTGCCCTGCGCTCCAGGGCTCCCCGCGCTGCCTCCACTGCCGCCGCCGCTGTCCGAGGGCTTAGCCGCTGCCGCCACCGCCGCTGCTGCCACGGCCGCCGCTGCTGCTGCCGCCGCCGCCGCTGCAGCCGGGTTCCCGGCTTTGGACGCGCCCGCGCCTGCGGCGGTGGCGGGCTGGGAGCCGTCGGGTGGGCCACAGTTAGCGTCCGGGGCGCAGAGGAGAGGGGCAGCGCCCGGAGCCCGCGTGCCCAGAGGGTGGACAGGGTCTCTACCTGCGCCAGTCTGGCCTCTGTCACGCTCGGCCCGGCCTCCTCCGGCCGCCGCCGCCAACAGGAGCTGCGGCGGCGGCTGCTCCTTTTTGCAGCCGAAATCCGGCCTCAGGATGTTGTCGATGAAAAAGTTGGTGGTGCGGTGCAGCTGGGCCGCGGGCTGCGGCTGGTGAGCAGGCGCCGCGAGATGCTGCGGCGGCGGCGGCGGCGGGGGCGGGGGGTGCGGGGGGAGGTGCGGGTGGTGGGCCAGGGGCGGCAGGCAGGGCGCCTCGGGCGGCGAGGGGGGCGCGGGCTGCGGGGACACGGGCACGCTGTCTCCATCGCTCCCGCTGCTGCCGCTGGCGCCAGGACTGAGGCTCAGGCTGAGGCCGCCCGGGGCCGCCGCCGCCGCCGCCGCGCCGAGGCCAGAGTCGCGCTGACTTTTAGGTTCCGGCTGCTGTTCTTCCATGCTCGGCCGCCCCGCCGCCCCGGCCGCCGCGCCGGCCCCCGCCCCCCCCGCCTCGCTCCCCACCCCACTTTGCCAGCGGCCCGTGGGGGTGCGCGGAGGAAGGAGGCAGAAGAAGCCTCAGCGAAGGCACGGGGCGGGTGCAGGAAAAAAAAAAAGCCCAGGCGTCTGGCCTGGATCGCTTGCTCTTATCGAGCAGATAGATCTCGCTGTCTCGCCCTCTCTCTAATTTGTAGACATCCAGATATGGAGACACTTGGCTATTTCTTTTTCTTTCTGCAACCAGATTCAATGATTTGTTTCAAATGGGGAGTGAGCCACAGCCAAAAATAGAGGGGGGGAAAAAAGGAAAAAGGAAAGGAAAAAAAAGAAATGAAGAAAAAAGAAAACGGCTTCAAGAATGTTTTTTTCTTAAGGGAAAAAATAGTCTTTAAAGTCTAGCCATCTTCCTAGGCAGTAGTGTGGGGTTTGACTTCCCCGAGTGTCACGCTCAGCTGTGCCCAGAGCGCGAGGCTGGCAGCGCCTTTAATCGCCTTTGCTTTTTTTGCAGGGAGACGCGTCTCCGCCAGCGCCAGGCTGCTTTTTTTTTCCCCTCTCAAATCTCTGACAGCTCGGATCTTTGCACAAACTCTCTCGCTTAAAAAAAAAATCACCCAGGCACACTTTTTGCCTTCAAACCGGAAGCACGTGAGTCAGGGCCGCACGTGTGCGGGGCCAATGGCGAGCCGCGACTCGCGCTGACACTCGGGGCTCGGCCCAATGGGTGCGCGCGGGACTTTGCGGATAAATAATCCGGGGGCGGCGGCGGCGGGCGGAGAGGGGGTGCCTCGGCTTGGGCCCAGTGTGTCCGGCCAGCCCTCCCCCACGCGCGATCACGCCCCTCCCCCTCCTTCAGGCTGGGACTGGGGAGGGGGCAGGAGAGATCCGAGAGGGGCGGATTTCGGGGTGTAGGCAAATAGAGAAGCAACTCCATAAACAACTTGTTGGAGAAATGCTGGATTACGGGTGCGTGCACGCTGGGCACCGGGTCAAGAGGCAGGGGCGTGGGTTCTGCACCCCCACGCCTAAGAAATTCAGCCATTATTTAATTCTCTTTGTTGTTGCATTTATGAAGAGTGAAAGCTTGTTGTCACTATTGGGGTATGTGTGTGTGTGTGTGTCTGTGTGCAGGGAGAGGAGGAGGATCAGGAGTTGGTGATGTGAAATAGATGTGGGGTTGTCTACTTTTGGAAACAGTTTATTTTTCACAAAGAGCAAACCTGAAGGCCTGCTGTGCCTAGCTAGCACTTCTGAGTTTGTAAGTCTCACACCGGCCGGCCTGGGAAGGCCACATACATTGCTTGCCCTTTTTTTCCCCCCCGCCGGCAGGGGCTTGGGGGGGGGTCCCCACCTATACCCCTCCCTGTTTGGTCCTTCGACCAAAAGAAATGCTTGTCCAGCCAGGCCCAGAGGACACAGAAGAGCCTCAGCTACAGCCGCATGTTCCTGCCCTGGCTTCAGGAGTCCGGGTTGTCCTGCGTGGCTGAGCTGTGCCAGGAGGGCCAAGCCAGTCAGAACTCAGATGCGCAGGGCCTGGGTTTTGTGTTCAGGGAGACCCCGTGCTAGATTTCCCTGCACAGTAAAATCAAGCAAAAACACTGCGTCCGATTGTTTGCCCTGGCCAGCAGAAGATGTGGACAAGGAGATGTGGACAAACTCCCTCAGTTTGGCGGTAACTGAATCTCCTAGGATTACTCCCAGCATTCTGGGTGCCTTTGGCTCTAGCCTTGCTAATTCTCCCTAGCTTTGGAGGACTATGGTACCTCCAGCTTTTCCCACTCTTTCATCTGTTGGGCTTTTTTGCCGTTTCCTGGTCGAGGCACCCAGAAATTTTCCATGGCCTGGGATGTGGAAGGATTTGCCTGTGGAGCTGTCCTGGAGGCCAACGTTGGTTAAAGCCCACAATGTCAGAAAGGCACCAGCAAACAAGGCCTTGGCAGGGATATTGTGGAATGCCAGGGCATATGCTCTTCCTGACAGTCATTCCCTTACTGAGACATCGGAAAAAGAATCTCTTCGGTGATACCGTATGTTTGGAAAGTGGGAAATAACCCCTCTACCCAGTTAAAAAACAAAAAACATACAGAGGGTTGGTTTAGAAGGAACATACAAACAAAACCACAACAAGCTGAACTACCTCGATAGATGACTAGTGGAGAGCTGGTTAGTGGGCTGCTCACTGCATCTTGGGGTCAGCCGAAGGTCCCCAGGTTTCCAGAGCCAAGTTTCAGACTAGATCTGCGCAGCAGCCTGGTGGTGAGAACCTCTCTCCGAAGCGGAGCGCTGCGCTGGACTGGCCCACCACGGGCTCCTCAACTTTCCCAAGCCTTTCCCAACCCCGCCTTGGGAGCCTCCTGAGTCCCCTTCTGTCCCAAGAGCTCCCCAAAATCTCCAGGCACCCCTACTCCTCCTCAAAATGGGGGTGGGATTTTATTTATATTTAAGTTCGCAAAATTGAAATCTTTATCCCACAAGCGAGCGTGGGTACTTAATTAAATTCTAATTAGGACACTATCAATATCCTATTTAGCCGCGTAGCTTTTGTGCGCCGCGGTCCCTTTCAGCGCCGTAAATAGGGTCTCGACGCCTTATCTCGCCTGCAGGAGACGCCTCGAGAAGGGCTGCGGAAGATAATTTATAGGTTTTAATTACTCTTCATTCCGCCTGATCAGCTTGGCGTTCATCACAGGCCTGTGAATAAAACCCTGGTCAAAAGCTCTGTCACATCGCGCTGGCAAGACGCTTAATCAAAGTGAGCGGCCCCGCGCGCCGCGCGGCCCGGCTCCTCCACGTAATTTCCAGCCAGCTGATAAAGCCAGCTGAATAATGCGGCGGCCCTTTGGAGACACCATTTACAGAAATGACTTTATTGACGGCTTAACGTCGGTAATTCATTTTACCTTTCATGTAGTGGAGCCCGGATTTGTTACAGTAATGGGATGATAAATGCACCCGCGGCCCACGAGCTCGGGCTGGATTAGGCGGCGCTGCGCGCGCGTGCTCCGGCTTGGCTTGTCCCCCCACCTTCCCCAGACTCAGCCCGCCTAGGCTGCTCGAACGCTCCGCCTGCGCTCCACCACCCCCACCCGGGCCCTGGGCCCTCCTCTCTCTCCTGCAGTTGAAACTATTGGGAACTCTCTGTGAGTGTTTAGGGTTAGGAGTCCTAGCTAGACTTGGAGTGAGGCCTGTGCGACCTGAGTGAGCAAATGTTGGTGAAGACGGACGGGTGAGGGGTGCAGAGGACTCTGAGCCAGGGCTGGACGTGTGGTTGAGAAACTACAGGCAGGGCGAGTCTCTTGTACCATTGTGTGAGTAAAGAGGTTGGGTGCTCGTGGAGGGATGTGTGCACTAGTGGGTGCATTGGTATGGTCACCCTTTCCAGGCACTCTTCTGCCCTTGGCAATTAAGGAATTTCTGCCAACTTGATAGATGCCCAGGCCAGGATGGTAGAGAGATGAGCCTACAGGAAACAGGTGAAGGAACCTGTCCAAGTGGAATGCAGCCCTTTCTGCAAATGCCATCTGCTCCTGGGCGGAAGGTATGGAAGCGTGTATGGGGAAGGGTGGCAGTATCCAGTTCCATTACCTTTGGAAGGGGCCCACAGAAGACCACGGACAGGGCCCTGTCTCTGCAATAGTTTAATTGTTCCCAAGTTCCCTTTCCATATCTACCTCAGATAAAAGTAGAAAATGATATGGAAGAAAAAAAAAGATTTTGTTTTATTCCAAGTGTTAAAGAGGGGTAGGGAGCTCTTGAATGCTCTTCTTCAAGAAAGAGGGGGGCCAAAGAGATTTTCAGTAGTGGGGAGTAAAAAGGATACAGAGAGGCGCCCTTGGCCCCCTGCCTCTCCTCTCCTAGGACTTCTTCCGTTCTTTGAAGTTAAACAAGAGTGTTCAATGAGCAAAAGATACCTGAGGAAACACAGGGCAATAGTTTATAGGAATTTGAGAGAAGTTAGAAGATCTTGTAGTAGAAAGGCTAATTAGTGTGTTTTCTAAGGGTAAAAACTGAGAAAGATACCTTTTTCCTGCTCTTTCCCAATCTTACCAAAACCACTTAGTGATGTTGGTGAGTGACGGCTGGTTGTGGACTCGGGGGCTTGCATTGGTGTCTACTTGTGTGTGTATGTGAGAGCCATAAGAGAGAAAACAAGGGTACAAAGTATCATTTATGTGCCCGTGCATAAGAGTGTATGTGCGTGCACACGTGCGTGCTTAGGCAGGAGACTCCTGTGTGTGCACACTAGCATATACACCCAAGACAGCCCCACCAGTGGGCAGGGAGAAATGTGTTGCTGAGTTTTGCTGTGCGCTGCTCAGAAAAGGGAACTCTCCCACCACCCTGTGTTTGCACAGAATTTTGGATTTCCTTTAGGCAGAGACAAATGCCTGGGTTCTCTGTGCATTCTCCTCTCTTTAGAGGATGAGGAGGAGAGTTGCAAAAGAAAACCTTGCAGTCTGGCCAGACATGCGCGTGCTGGGCTGGGAGTAGGAGTGTGTTGCATGCACACGGTGGTAATCGCATTTCGAGTGTAGATCAGATGGCAGTGGGGCCTTGTGGTGCGGGACATGAATGAGTTGTCGCAACACAATAGCGTGCAGCCTTCCTACGGGGACTGGGTGACCAGCGGTTTTGTTGGGAGTGAATGCGAGGAGATTTCTGCTACAAGTGCGGCGGAATTATTATGAGCCTGAAGGTCAGACTATACATTGCAGGTCCCCAAAGCCTATAGACCTTGGGAAATGTGGGGCCTCGAGCCACGTCGTTATACCTGACAGTCCTTTCAATAGACTAATTCAATTAACGTTCGGGGTTTCGGTCTTCATTTGGAGAATAACAATGTGGGGGTGGGTGGGGTGGGGGGATTCCTTAGGTATTAGGGATCCTAAGCAATTCTGCCCAAGCTCAGGGTGGGACTGGGGGAGGTCATTGAAGGAAAAAAGCCGGTGTGGGGAGGGAGTGTGTGGGAGGCAAA